ACAAGATGGAGGAACATGAATTAGTAATATGATCCACGGACCTATCAAACTTTTTTTTTTAAGACAAACTAAATTTACATAAAAGTGGAAATGCGAAAACTGGTTATGTAGTGCAATGAAGGAAAAACTTTAAGCTTGAGTTATAAACATGTATAGCTAAATTAACTTCGGAATGGCCTAATTCTCAGACAAGATGGATTCTTAACATGAATTGGTAATCTAACCTGTTGACCTTTCAGAACTCATAAAAAAATGACCTTTTGCATAAGAGGCTACGGCTAAAATCTAGTGTTTTATGCCAAATAAATGGAAATATTAAAGCTCGAGTATAAGCACATATATCGCTAAGTAACTTCATAAACGATTTCATAGTAAAGGATGAAGATGCAACGAAGTTTTCAACATATAATGAAATAGTAAACCTATGTAATCTTTTTTCATACCACAAACTCTCTCGAGGTGAGATACATTGTGCAAACCGAATTATCAACAAAAAATAATAAAATTACTTTTATTGATATTTTCAAGGATGTCACACGATCATCAGCATGCCATGCACGAGTTAATTCAGCTTTAAGTTCATGCAATCGAGAAACATATTCCTGCCCTGTGATGACCTTGCCACCCTCTTCTGCAAATTTTTCCGGATCGTCCAGTTCCTCCAAATGCATACTTGTTGAAGATTTCTCATATGCTGTAAATTCACATCATTAACAAAGAAAACCAAGTGATTGTTATAGCTGCTTTAACACATCGAGTATTGGCAACAAAAAGCTGGTGAAAATGATACTTTGTAGTTAGACAAAGGAAAGGAGGCTGACATACTTTTCCTGCCTTTCACCATCACATCGGACATCTGTAATTATTAACAAAAGGAAAAAAAGGGTTACAAGGTAGGTTACAGCTTTCAATAAGGGACATAAGGAGAGGGAATAGCTGGGCCACTTTAAAATATGATAATACCAATTAGGGAAAAATATAAAGATTTATCAAAAAGCTAATGAATGGGGAAGCTTATAAAAGAGATATATGATAAGAAAATTTTGAATTCCCATAGCATACTTCATACTTTTGAAAACTAGCAAGCAACAAGTGCAGTAACATTAATCCAGGAAACCCAAAAATAAAACTCTATTTCAATATGAAAAACATATAGAATCTGAAACCGATGTCAGAAACATAAGCCTCACCTGCTAAGATATTTCATGCTTTTGTTTTGAAAACTAGCTAGCAACAATTGAAGTGGCATTCATCCAGGAACCAAACTCTAATTCATTACAAAATATACAGAATTGAAAATGGTGTCAGACACAAAGGCAACCCAGATATACTAGCTTGAAAATTACTCAAGATACCATCAAGCCACAGCAGATTGCACAAAATTTGAATATAGCACAGAATGTGGAACTCAAAAAAAATCAAGAAGCATGAAATGCTTACTGAAGAAGTTGAAACTGTTTTGGAGACTGGAAACCTCTGCACCAGGGATCTCTTAAAAGAGGCCCATTCTTTAGATGGATTTTGAATAGAAGCTTCACTGGAGAGCCCTGCCCCAGAACTGGTTTCAATGTCTACTAAATCCTCTCTAGCAGCTTTGGCATTGTTATCGGACCTTCTTAGCGGGTCAAAAAACTCCATATTCCCATGTTCCACGACCTCAACCTATATCAAAATACTGCAATTTCTAAACAATCCAAGACTTTCAAAGATATCATAATCAAAGCACAAGACCACAGAAGTAATCAGATTTACTAAAATTTGACATGGAATTTTCACACTTGGAGAATACAAATGAGACATTGCATCCATCTATGATTAAAAAAAACAAATTGTGCTCAAGTAGATGATAGCTCAACCTCAAGCTCACGTCTGTCTAACAAACCAAATTGCTCAAGCAAGTAAAATTGTTTTACTATATCCGATCACGAATTTGAATTTCCTACACTTTCTATGCAACCAAACAGATGCTTAATGGCAGAGGTAACAAAATAACGAAAATTTGAATAAATGATCGATGTGATTGTAACCTGGAGGTGAGGTAGAGACGATGGAGCGGAGAGAGGGTGATCGTCCGCTCTTACTCGCGGAAGCGCGTGGGCTTGCTTTTCGGCACTGTAATTGCGAGGTCTGAACTCCATGGCGAAGCAAACTATGAGACCGTGCTGCTTCTTTTTCTGTGGAGAAAGATGCCAAAGGTGGTATCGCGACGGCCGTTTGCCGTTGTGGCCAGATGTCGTTTTCTTGGGAAAATGGCCATAAGAACCAGAAAACGTCATGTCGTGGAGAAAGCATTTTTTGTCAATTGAAAGTGTCTGTTAAATCTTACATTTTCCCAAGAATATAGTTATTAAATCATAATTTAATTTTCTCTCATAAACAAGTCACAAAAATACATTGTACCGTAGATGTATCTAAGTTCTAATCACCAACATAAATAAAAATTTCATTGTACAATAACATAAAATCATTTTAAATAATATATACCCAATTAGTACTCATGTGTTAACAATTAATATATATAAATAAATGTCTTGGTTAATATACTTTTCAAGGACTTAGAGCATGTCCACCCAAACAGTCTAAGAGCAGCTCCAGCGCATGCATCAAACCGAGCAGGAGGCCCCCCGAGCAAGCCCAAAACGGCTCCAGCGTGAGAGAAGAGGCCCGGGCAAGCCCTGGGTCCCACCAACCCGGGCAAGCCCAAGGGCAGGTTTCGCCTGGGCTTCAACCCGAGAGCGGTGATGTCAGCGCTGATGTCACGCTGATGTCATCCCTAACATAATCTAATGGGCATGCGCCATATGTCGCAACCCAGACGCTCCGATCAATTTTTTTTCCAGAAATCCGACGGTTCATGTTTTTTGGCTAAAAAAATTCTGAATTTTTTTAAAAAAAAATACCAAAAAATTCTGGATTTTTTCCCTATAAATACCTAACAATTTTATTCACTTTCCACACTAAATCTTCATACCATTTCTTCTCCTTCCAATATTTTTTACTTTCCACACCAAATCTTCATACAAACCCTTCTCCTTCCAATATTTTTTACTCTCCACTCACATTTTTCTACTACTTTTCATTTGTATCAAAAAACAAATGTCATCTTTTGTCGAAGCCAGAGGCACGTGCACAATTCAGAAAGATATTGCGTTGTGTCAGTCTTGGGTGAACGTTAGTCATTGCCTTGTCACAAGCAATGAGATGAAGTTCTCTCATATGTGGAGCAAAATTCATGGAGAATTTTGTCAAAGATTGGGTTCCATTCAGACCGAAATGGCCTTGTCTAGTAGATGGAGAATTCTAAATAAAGAGTTAGGAAAATGGAGAAATGCTTTAACAAAAGCAATGGAGAACATTTGAAGCGGTCAAAATCTATCCGATGAGGTAAAATATTTATAATTTCCATTTTAATCAATTTAATGTAATTTTTTTTATTGCATATTCTATTTCTTTTTCTTGCATAATTTTTTTTTTTTTTTTTTTTTTTTTTGCATTTCCAATTTGTTTATATTTTCTTGCATAATCAATTTTTTTTCTTGCATTTAAAAATTGTTTATGTTTTCTTGCATAATCTTTTTTTTTCTCTTGCACTTCCAATTATTTCTTTTCAATAGATCATACAAGCACAAGTTTGTTTTGGTGCCATGGGGCAAGGCAAAAAAAGTTTCTTGCATTTCCAATGTTGGGAAGTTGTGAAGGATTGTTCGAGATTCAAAATTATTCCCACAGGTCTGGCGGTTGTGTTGAATGAGACGCCGCTCTTCGATTCGCCATCAACTGATTCGCCATTGGACTCCCCAATGGAAACGGAGTCACCACTCCCACGTCTGCTGAGACCTATTGGGAGAAAAGCGGCAAAGGCCAAGAGAGGGAGCAATTCGAACAATGAATGTGTACAATTTATGGAGCAAATAGCTAAGAACACCGCACTAAGAATGGAGAGAGACTTGAAAAGAGAAGAAGCGGACATTGCACGACAGGAAGCATTTGCAATTCAACAGCAACAGGCACAAGAAAAAGACATGGTGGATAGAGAGATGAAAATCATGGCCATGGATACGAGCCATATGTCTCCTGAAACAAAGGCTTATTGGAAGCTAAGACGAAGGGATGTGATGAGAAGAAAACTTTTCCATGACGACAGACCTAGCAATACGGATTGGTTAAATGATCAAAACCATTAGGTTGCATTGAAAGATTTGTCATATGTATTAATTTGTTGTATTGTTTCCTTTTTATTCAATAAAGAAAGCATCAAATAATATGACTATTTATTAAAAACATTTGCGCATCAAAACAAAGATTAATTAAAAACAAACCTTAATTTATTGCAAACAACACACAAAACAAATCATACTTAAAAACATAATAATAAAAAAAGCATAATTCCAAAAAACATCATACACAAAATAAAGCATAATTAAAAACAAAGCATAATTCCAAACAAAGCACTAATCTTGACTTCATCCACTATGATTGCCTTTCATCTCCCACAAGTGCTCGATCAAGTCAAGTTGACGTCTCTCGTGAACATATAAAGATTGCATTTCTTGATAACGATCAATCATAGGGTTGTTGTATCGACCATCCTGAAGTAACGGTTTGGGCTCCATTGGTTGTCCATTTGGTCCCATCGGCCTTTCATATATTCTTGTCAACGCCGTGTTCATGGGATCGGGTTCAAACACTTCTGAAGCATCGTAGTCATACTCATCCTCCACAATCATGTTGTGGAGGATGATGCAAGTCATCATAATACTCCGCAGCACCTCCTCATCTAGCATCCGAGTAGCACCCTTAATAATTGCCCAACGAGCTTGCAAGATACCAAAACACCTTTCCACGTCTTTCCTATAACATTCTCGAAAGGCAGCAAAGCTTTTTTCCTTCTTGGATTAGGGATTTGGAATTGTTTTCACGAATGTCGTCCACCAAGGATAAATTTTATCGGCAAGGTAGTATGCACCAGAGTATACGGTATTGTTGACTTGGTACGTGATCTAGGGGGATTGACCAAGGACATTGAGGTCATTATGAGATTCGGCAACCTCGAAGAAAGCATGCCAAACCCAATAGTTTAATGAAGCTACGGCCTCCAAAATTATACTTTTTTTGCCTTTTCGATTCCCATTCTCTCCTTGCCAAGCAGTAGGACAATTCTTCCACTGCCAGTGCATGCAATCGATGCTTCCAATCATTCTTCGGAAACCTCGAGCCTCAGCTTTTTGGAGAAGCCTTTGTAGGTCCCTTGGTGTGGGTTTGCGAAGGTACTCACTCGTGTACAAATTTTCCACTGCATCACAGAATGTCACCAAGCACTCTAGGACAGTTGATTTTTCAATCTTTGCAATCTCATCCACCTGCTCTACAGATGCCCCATAAGCAAGCATCCGCAAAGCAGCTGTAAGTTTTTGCTCTGGAAGAAGACCCAAAACTCCAACAGCATCATACTTTTGAATGAAGTATGTGTCGTAATTACAAATATCATGCATGATTTTTTGGAACAAATGTGGCTGCATTCTATATCTATCTCGAAACTTAGAAAGAGAATATAACGAATTTGGGATAAAGTAATCTTCCAAGAGATTCTTACCCCGAGACTCCCTATGTCTGTCCACATTCGGAGCACAACAACGGCGGTGTTGCCTTGATTGATTAAGCATACACACCTCTGCTGCAAGCATTTCTTCCACTTCTTCATCGACCTTCTGATCTTCAACAGCATGTTTGAGCCGAATTTTTTCCTCTTCTTTCTGTTGCCTCTCCAACACCCTCCTCAAGTTTGACATTGAGAGTATAATATGTTTTGTAAAATCTGAGAAATGAAGATATAGATAAGAGATGGCGTGAGATGTATTTGTTGACGGTGTAGTTTTATAGAGGGATTTAGAAAATAGAGATGACACGTAGTACAATTTTATATGGTGAAAATCTTATCTGAAATCTGATATTATAATTTTTTTAAAATATATGAAAATCTTATCTGGCATGGGACACGTGACACATTTTTAGATGGTGAAAATCTTATATGAAATCTAAGATTATAATTTTTTTTTAAAAATATTTGAAAATCTTATCTGACATGAGACATGTGGCACAATTTTAGAGCGTGAAAATCTTATCTGAAATATGAGATTATAATTTTTTTTAATGAATATCCGAAAATTTTATATGGAATAAGACACGTGGCAACTGAGATTCTCATCCGAAAATCTTTTCTGAAAAATAATGGACAAGTAGCAACCAAAAATCTTATTCGAAAATTTAATTACAAAAGATTATCAAAATTAATGGTTTAAAGTATAAAAAAAAATATGAAATAAAGTACAATCAATAGTATTTGCCTTAACCTTAGCCTTTTGGGGTAGAACCACAAATGGCAAGGCTGCCACTATTCACGTGAATGGTAGTAGCCCTTGCCTTGCCTTAGCTTTAGCCTTAGAGCTTATGGGTGGAGATGCTCTAAGACTAAGGCCAAGGTAAGGCAAGAGCTGCTACCATTCACGTGAATAGTGGCAGCCCTTCCCTTTTTGGTTCCACCCCAAAAGGCTAGGGTAAGGGCAAAAAAAATATATATATATGCAACAAAATATTAACTTGTTATGTATTTATAGGGAAAACATCCATAATTTTTTTTGTTTTTGTTTTTGTTTTTTTAAATTGATCTTTTTTCCATTATTTTCAATTTTTTTTATTTTTTTTTTACTCGCTGACGTCAGTGCCTTTGGACTAAAGCCCAGGCAAGATCTGCCCTTGGGCTTGCCGGTCTGCTTCTTATGCGCTGGAGGTCCAAAACCCCTCAAAGGGCCATTTAGCCAGGGCAAGAAGCCCTGCGCTGGAGGTGGTCTTAGAAGGTGTTGGGCTATTAAGTCCATTGTCATTTGGTTTTGCTCTCGATTGTGGAACCTAAAACTCTTTCATGGTATTTTGAACTTTATCTTTTTATTTACTATAACTTTCACCAGCACATCTTCATTTCATGGACTAGTTAAGATTTAAAATAATTGTATATAAATATAAATGAAATTTTTACCCCAAAAAACTATTCGTGAAAATTTGACAAAAACAAAATTATATGTGAAAATATTGATAGTGTGTATTTATATATATATATATGAATCAAATACATATTGTTAAACTATCTGATTAAATACGGACACTTGAGAATTTTTAAAATATAAATTTTTTGACAAACTATTTATTTTATATTTTAAAAGCTTACAAGGTCAGAATGAATAATTGTGGATGCAGCTGAATAGAGAAATAGCATGTGACGACTGTTTGATAGAGCAGCAAATGCATACAACTCTTTCGTACTTGGTTGATGTAAAGCCAAAGTTGTGGTTGCCCATCTGACTTGTTGAGGGTAAACTTTGCAAGGAGATGAAAATAAACCTTGCATGCATCCGAGAAGAAGCACTGAAAGTAACTCACAACACTCTGTACACTTATTAACGTTACCAAATATGGTTTTGTTCAACCTAAAACGTAGCTTTGTATTTTAGCATTGGATTAAATAGATTGTAAATATTCAAAGCGCTTTAGTGGGCTCAAATATGTTTTGTATGGTGTATTTGGAGGCATGCCGCTATTGGTACTATTAAGCTCAATATAAAATATGTAAATCAGATAGAAATGAAATGAAAGTCCTTTGCACCTTAAGGTGGGGGCTTCAAAGCTTGTTGTGGTTTAGGGGTGTGCAGGTTCACGGCCCTAGCCAGGGTTAACATAGAATCTTAACTCCTTCTCAAGCAATTGTGCTCCAAATGGGGAACTGGACTGGATTGATTTTTTTCTATTCCTAAATTGATTAAGGACTTCAATATTCCTCTTGCATGAGGTAAGAACTCAAATAACGAAATTTTGAGATCGTAATTGAACCAAAATAACTTTTATTAATGAAGAGAGAATTGGGTCTGAATGGACAATACAAGTTAAAGAAAGAGAGAAAGAATCTGATCGGATTGAAATAGCTTTAAATCCGATTGATTGGAGTACAATGAAACTTCTTAAATAATCACAGTTGAAATCGAATGTCAACTAAAAATCATACCATCTATGGAAGAAGGCAGAGTAAAATAAACAAAAGTTTCAACCAAGAAAGCTGTTGAGAAACTTGAGACCAAGTTGATCGAGTTGATATATATTGGAGAGATAGATTGGGTGTTCTCTTTTTGTGTTCAATTTTTATAGTCCCTCCCAATTTCATCGTGAAGGCAACCAAGTAGTCTTGCCCGGATACTAGGGAACAACTTTCCTTAAATCACTACTGAAATTAAGCAGCCATGGATTTGCTTCAAAATGATAAAGTTGAGCTAAAATCCAGCAATTTAAACGAGATTGGATTTTGTTTAAGTAGTAGTTTGAGTAGCATTTAATTCTCTCACCTAATCCGAATTTGCAAGCTAGCCCATGTGAGAACTAGGGGGAAAGCTCTTCGAAGAAAGCTTTTCGATGATTCTGTCCTTGCACACGTGGCCACCTTTTGGTCATTCCGTTGGGTATTTTATTCAATCTGCAACCTTCCTTGGGCTAGAAAGATTATGGGCGTAATTGATTTTCCTAGCCATTGAATTGGCAGAAGTTAATTTTGCCCAAAAAATGTGCCCCCAGTTTTAACTAGCTTGCTTAAGCTTGTTGAAGTTTTGAATTAAAATCTCATGTTGCCTTTCCTCATGCCCCTCAACTTGCCACGTTGCCTTTCACGATTCATAAACAACTGCTAGGCTAATGATAATCGCCAAGCCTGGAATTAACTCGACTTCCTTTTGAAACTGAAATGCTCCCTTAGTCTTCTTCACCTTGTTATACTTGTGAGTTCAAGCAAAAATCAGGCAATTTTGCAAAAGAAAAGGCCCTAATGTCTCTTTGAGAGCTTTCATTCTGCAACTCTCCTTCATGCCTCAACTACTCCAAAATCGGAGAAGGCAATGATTCCATAATTCATTTCAGGCAATAATGTTGACATGCATAGGAGGTTCATGATCATTGAAAGGTACAACATTTTGAAAAACATTGTTGATGAAAAAAAAATTGCACAACCAATCAAATTGCGTCGAACCAAGTCAACCCATCTCTCATTTCGGTGGTTATATGGAAAAATGAGTGTAAGTGAGAGGAGGTTGATGGGCGGGAATGGGTTTAGGGGTTTCTTGAACCAGCTTTCAAAAGGGTCGAAAGGGGATCACCCTGCCTTAGCCCACGGATGGGTACAATCATGCCCATAGCCGCCCCCATCACTTAAACTTTTTTGTTATTGTCAAACTAGACTTTCATTCATAAGAAAGAGTTACAAATAAAGCCTAATCTAGCAAAGATCCAAAAGGCCCAAAGCAAAACTAAACCCTAGCAACTAAAACAAAATAAGAAAATGCAACCGCCATGACATCTCTGCAACAGGAGAAGCAGCAGGGCCAAAACAAAACAACAAACTTCTAAACCAACACTACAAACAATAACCTCAAATCCACTAGAACAAGGCCTTAAAATTGGTAAAACATAAAACAAGAAATTTATAATAAATTCACTCTATTGCGATGCACTTCGCACCCATCGAGCCCAAACTTACATCCAAGGGAGCAACAGCCACACAATAGACGAAATCGAAGGCCTAAGCCAGCCCATAGCCAGCATAACTAACAAGAACCAATTTGTGGAAGCTGGTGGTGCAATCACCCGAGTCGAAACTCTACCAAAATTTTGATTAAGATTAAGACGCGAAGACGCATGTTGAAGATGAATAGCTGCAAACTTGGATTGATGTTGGAATGAGTGGGGAAGGAGAGGAGTAGAGCAAGTGATGTGGGCTATAGTAGTAGGGATTTGGGGGATGAGGACCATGGAGGTGAAAGAGGATGAAAAACCAATATAAGGGTTGGAGATTTATGTGAAATCCTGAGCTAAAATGGGTTAGAGAGGAAGGAGAAAACATAAACAGCATAAAAGAAAGGGCATAAAGCCCTGGACTGAGACAGAGCTCACGGAAATGCCCATTATTAGTGGGAAATTGCCATCGACACTCAAACCTGGAAGAGAGGCAGAGCACAGGGAACCTTAACTTGGTTATCCACTTGTATAGATCAAATAAGAGTAGAAATGTAGTCCATGATAAAGTCTACCCATGTTTCATTAAATCCCAACCTCCGTAGCATTACTATTAAAAAAGACCACTCCACCCTATCATAAACTTTGAACACCTCCAACTTCATAATCATCTTTTTCGAACCGCTTCCTCCCCTACATTTTACAGCATAGACACTTTGAAACACTATGATAATATTGTCTGTGATCAACTGTGTACTTTGTTGCACCGATACATTGGTTTTTTCGGGAATGCGCATATCGGATACAGCGACGATACAACACTGATACGTATCCGATATGCCACGTGAAGTATTGTAAACTTTTATGACATGTTGACTTTCCGGTACGGCTCCGATACGTGGTTGATACGGTCTGGATACGGTCGCGATACGACACCGATACGTCAAGGGTAAAAACAAAAATATTGGGAAAATTTATGGGTGATTTTGAAAGTTAATTAATATTTGGGGTTAAAATGTAAAATTAAAACATTGAATTTCAAAGACTGACTATGTCGAGAGAGGCTAGGTCTTGGGTATCAGTTAGACGCTAACCAAATAGAAGAAGAAGAAGAAGAAGAAGAAGGAAGAAGGAAAAGAAT